AACTCAGCAGCAGAAACTCAGCAGCAGAAACTCAGCTGAAACTGAAGTTTCTGGTTTCTTAGAAAGGTTTATGAAGAACACACCTGCTGTCGTCGTCAGTAGTGGATTGAAACGCCAAGACCGTCAGGTAACCCAGGATGAGGAGGCCGCAGCCTAGCTGTGCAGCCCATAGAGGGCATTTGCCTGAATCAAAACGCAGAAATAAAGGGGTAATATATAATATTTCTGAGTTCAATTCATCGAAATCAACGAAAAAATCCACCCGGGAAAGCACAGGAATGCAGGAAATGTATGGGGCTTCTTCTTGAACGCGATGACGCAGAGAGAAGAAACAGCAGAAACAAATGCGAATACAGAATTTTCTTTTGAACAAAACTCACCAGCAGTTTCAGGAACTGCTCTAAGAACATTTAAAAGAGATAAAGGATCGTTGNTTTTGAACAAAACTCACCAGCAGTTTCAGGAACTGCTCTAAGAACATTTAAAAGAGATAAAGGATCGTTGTTTCCCGCAGATACCGTCATGAGGAGGCAAATATAGCCACCGAGCAACATGAAGACCCCCAGGCGAAGACTGTAGTTCACAATGAAACTCCAGAAAGGCTCAAACTGAGGCCCGCGGCCCTCAGGAGCCTCTCCCGGCCTCACAACGTATGTGAAAAACATCTTTATTCAAAAAATAAAAATAAAAAAAAGAAATATGATGCAGGCGGAGACGCCACGTTCGATACTGCGGGGGCTTCTCTCGCGAGTCCGGAGCACCAATGGGCACTCAGTGACTCGCGACGGTGAGCAGACAGAATTAAAAACGAGTTTATAATTCTTTTTCAAGAAAGAAGATATTTAAATTCAAAAAAGAAAGAAAGATTGAGCCACAAACAACACGGGAAACGATGATGCGTACTGCGCCGGCAATGCAGATCACCGCCGACTAGCGAAGACGTTCCAGGCCAGATAGTCTGTAAGCTCTCTCGTTGCAGCGTGAATCTTCTCGTGAAGAAACTCTGTTGTATTTTGTTTTATTTTATTAAGAATTATTCAATTTCAATACTCAGAAGAAACCATGTTGCACTGAAACCCTCGTATCTTCACTGTTCAAGAAACCTGAACGAGAGAGCTGCGTCCTCGGCGGCGCCCCCAACGTCCTGGGTTTGTTCGCCAAGGGAAAGCAAAAGAGAAATTTTCATCGCTAGTTGTGAAATTCATACAAAGGGCCTTTGAAATATAAAAGTATTTGAAAGTTTTCTTCAGCTTTCGTTTTGCTTTCTCAGCTAACAACGCCACGCCATGAGGCGAACACCGCGCGACCACACGGGATCGCGCCTCTGAGTTTCAGCAGATGAAACACTAACCAAGTTGCTTCAATAAGTAAATTTATTTATAGTATAAGTATTTAAAATTAATAATAATGTGAATATTCCGAGAGAAATTTGTGCTTTCTCCCATTCATATTTTCGTTTTCTGTACCGTTCTGTAAAAGGCCCATAAGAAAACGACCGAAAACTACATGGGGGAGCAGCTGCTCTTTTAGGGTTTATGTTTTAGCGAGACTTGTTTTTATGTATATAGAATATATATTTCTTAGAAAGACTTGTTTTTATGTATATAGAATATATATTTCTTTTTACAGCTGAACCCCGAAAACTCGCCATAGTTAGCGCCGTCTTGCAGCTCCGCTGCGGCCAGACACGGAGCAGAGCGTAGTATTGAAACGAGCCGTTAGTGAATTCTCCTTTTGTATTTATATTATTTATATTCAGAAATAAATACCACAGTGTTGCTTTTCTTCTTGAACTGAATGAATCCTGTGTATACCGCCATGGAGTTTAAATAAAGGAGAAACCGCTAGCGAGGGTGTGTGTGTAAGGATTGTTTTAATGCTATCACTGACAATGATTTCACTCTATTTCCTTTTATTTTTTGTTTTTTACAGACAATAAACTAATTTTAATCCTTTTTAGTGTTTAACTATCTGTGTGTCGTGGCTATGCTTGGAGTTGGTTTAGCTGATAATGAACAAAATGATGCAAAATACACGAGAAAAACAAAAGCAAACACAAATGGGGTTTTTATATTTCTAAGAAACAAACAAAATCAAAGAAATCGCATCCCTTTGAGTTCTGGTGAAAGTGCAAGATAGATATAGGAAAGCCAAATGCGGTGATGTATTATTTTGTTTAATTTGTTTTTTTTTTTTGTTTTAATAAAATATAAATTATGTTTATTTTAATCGCCATATTTTTGTTTTCTTTCAACTGCCACGTCGGCCAGAAACAAAAACCTGAATACAGCAGTTCTTTCATACGCAGCGTTCATATTTCAACTTTCTGCATACACCGCAAGATTTCTGCTTTTGAAAAAGATAAACAAAAAAAAAACAAGAGTCATGCACGATATTTATTTAGAAAACCACGGAAGAACAATATATGTATATATATATATATATATATATACATATATCTTCTAGTGTAACAGAATATATACTGTAACTTGTATTCCTCTTTTCTATCATTTGTATTGTAAGTGAACGTTTGATTATTATATTATAAAGTAGAATACAATAAATAATAATTATAATGATAATAATATTAATTATTTATATTATATTGAAGACACCGTGTATTCCGTTCATCGGCTCAATTTGGTTTTTTTTTTAATTCGTAATTTCATATAATATTATTTTTGCAGTTCAATACCTTTCCCTGCATAGTTTTTCTTCTTAAGTACACTCGGTGAAGGTTTTCTCCATTTCTTTTTCCTAAAAGTAAAACTCTGATATTTTTTGCAAATTAAATTCATTGAAAGTTTTTTTTTTTTGATTTTGTTTCTGTTTTTTTAGGCTGCCATTGCGTTGCAGTGCAGCACAGACCGGTGGTCGCAGGAGTGGAAGCGGTGGGTATTGGGAGGAAACCCGGTAGAGTGTTTGTTTTTTAATTTTTTCAATATTTAATTTTGTATAATTCTTCAGAAATAAGTTGAAATTCTGCACAATATATCCTCAGGTGTACACGCAGCTGAACTCGAAGTGTGGGCAGACCAGGCCGCGCTCTCTCCGGCCTGCTGCTGATCACCAAGAGAACGACGGGAGAAAGCACTATTTTTTCTTGTTTAAAGAAGTTTATTTATTTTAATTATTATTGAAATTAATGTTCAAGTTGTTCTGGTGTTTTCTAGAGGAAAACGAGGCTGAGCGTGGCGGTACCGGGCCGACGCCGCAGCTTTCGTTGCAAGTTGAATTGCTGTGTGAAGGCGGGAGCGGTAGCAGCNCGGTACCGGGCCGACGCCGCAGCTTTCGTTGCAAGTTGAATTGCTGTGTGAAGGCGGGAGCGGTAGCAGCTGCAGCAGCGCAGGTATTCTATAGAATTCAATTCTTTTGGGTTTTTTAATAAATATAACTTGAAAAATGAAATATATTCAGAGTTTAACAAATTCAAAAAGACAAACATTATTAAATCCTGGGGCTTGCTGGGGGTGATGGGCCACCAGTGGTGCGGAGAGCTTACACTCCTCAACGTCCGCGTTACTGGAAACTGAATTGAAATTTTTTGTTTAGTTAAATTTAAATTTTAATTCTTTTTTGTAGAAGAAATTAAATTAAAAAACTTCCGCGAGGCAGCTGCTGTTGCAGCCAGGGTGGAGCTGCACACTACGAGGACGTGCCGAGCTGAGGGTGTGTGTTCGCCTGCTAGCAGCAGCTGCAGCCCCTTTTTTTCATTGTTTTTTTTCTGTTTTCCATATATTTTTTAATTTGTTTAATATTATTTGGTATTCTTTGGCTTTAATTCATGAATTGATGAGTGTAAATCGACACGCACATGGGCGGCCCCCTACCCACCATCTGCAGGAGGGGTTTCAGCTGCCGGTACACCCGGATGGCTGCTTCTTTGTTTGGGTTTTTCTGCATTAGTGCTGTTATTTCTTTTTATGATTTATATTTTAGCAGGTAGATCAGCTTATTCCCTTCTCTTCAGCAGATCAATACCCCCCTGGAGGCCCCCGCGCTGCAGCAGCAGCAGCAGCAGCAGCAGCAGCAGCAATCGCTTATCGTCTTCTTCTTCCCTTCTTTGTAGCCTTTATACTTTCTTAGTTTTCTATTATTTCGTAGATATTACATTTCTGCACTTCATGTGCAGGGGCCGTGGGTGTGCATCAGGTTGCTGAGGTGTACATACACCCGAAAAAACCACAAACCTTGCATCCCTGTTGAGGTGTACATACACCCCAGCATACCATGGCCCAAGTAGAGCTCCCGTGGGGCGCCTCTTCCTCTCGAAAGAGCAGCGAAGGCCGCCGCAGCCGCCGCAGCAAACACCGAGGGGGGGAGCTGCTGCTGCAGCAGCAGCAGCAGCAGCAGCAGCAGCAGCAGCAG